TGGCTGTTTGCGGTTCGATACGCTGCGCATCAGCTCAACCTCTGGCCCCGTGTCTCCTTGCCGGTGACCTCGCCGACACTGCGTTGGACGGGAGAGGTTGGCGATGCGTCGGTGTTCCGGGTCTAGGGATCTCGTGCCTTTGTTTGAGATACCTCCGCGGACAACCTCTCCTCCCGCGCCATTCCCTGCGTCTTCCTTGGCTTTCCCCCTGGCTGACAGTTTTACCACCCCACCTCGTGCCGTGTCCTGCCCTCTCAGGACGTCACGTTTGACGAGCCGGTTCCCTTTTACTGTCTCTTCCCCTACTGCACTGCCCCTCTCCCTCTCCTGCCGCTCTTCCTCACACCAGGTCCTCCTCCGGTAGACCCCCTCCCCCTCAGGGTCCTGCTCCCTCAGGTGTGTCCCAGGTAGACCGTGTCGAGCCTGTCGAGGTAGCTGTAGACTCTGGTGCTGCTGGGGGTGGTGCTGCTAGGGGTGCTGCATCTGGGGGTGCTGAGCCGGAGGGTGCGGGGCCTTGGGGTGCTGAGCCTTAGCGTGCGGAGCCTAGGGGTGCTGAGCTTGGGGTTGCTGAGTCTGGGCGTGCGGAGCCTGGGGGTGCTGAGCCTGAACGTGCAGAGCCTGGGGGTGCTGAGCTTGGGGGTGCTGAGCCTGAGCGTCCTGAGCCTGGAGGTACTTTGTCTACTGGAGGTCCTCCGGGTGCCTTGACACGGCGGGAGCCTCTCTCTCAACCGCAGCTGCGCGAGTGGTTTGCTCAGCGCTAGAGCCTTCGGAGTGGTGCTGCTAGAGCCGGAGGGCCTGCCGCTGGAGGCCCTGGAGCTGGAGGTGCTGGAGCCGCTGGTCCCGGAGGTGCTCGTATTGGAGGTACTGGAGCTGCTAGAGCTGGTGGTGCTGCAGGAGCTGGAATTGGAGACCCTGGAGCTGGAGACACCGGAGCTGGAGGCGCTGGCCCTGGGGGTGCTGGTGCTGTTGGTCCTGGTTCTAGAGGCACTGTGCGGCCGCGACCGTACTTCGTTCCACTGCTTCAGCAGGTTCTTGGTCACTCGTCTTCTACTGGCCTTACTCCTCCCTTACTGTGTCCACCACCTGACCAGTCGCAGCCATAGTTACTGCCTGCCTCCCCACTGCCTGCTCTTTCTCCTTATACTGAGCCTACCGCAGATCTTACAGAGCGTCGCGAGCCTGCGTCTCATCCTACCTCGCGTGTTCGCGCTGTTCGCACTGGTCGTCGTGTTCCGCGTCAGCGTCCTCCTTCTGTGCCCGGTACGCACCATATGGCACTTCGTCCTTCCTCTATTCCACAGCGTGTCCCCCTACCGTCTCCTCCTGCGTCCTCTCTTGCTGACGGACCGGACCCTGAGTCTGACTTACTTCGTGCTGCTAGTCCTACTATCACGCGTCTTCTGGCCACTATTGTCACAAACCCTTCGTTTGAGTCCACTGCAGCGTCTGCCCTAGTTGCTGAGCTTGTTGACTTTGCTGCCGCGTGTCGTCTCAACTACGCCGCTAGTCTTGTTACTGAGTCTGAGTCTGTCTGTCCTCCGTCCGTCGGGGGTGAGTGTGCTCTTGGCATGGGCGTCCTTGAGGACAGGCAGGAGGACTTTGAATGTTTTGCAGCTGCTGTACCTCATCTCGTGTCCATGCTGATTGCACCTGAGGGAGACCCGGATGCACCAGACATCCCGACCCCGCGCTCTTACGCAGAGGCGATTACAGGTCCCTACTCCTCTCAGTGGCAGACAGCCATGGACGCAGAGATGGCATCCCGGAAGTCCACAGGCACTTACGTCGACGCATTTCCCACTCCTCGGGCGAACATAGTCGATGGCATGTGGATTTTCAGGGAGAAGCGGCCGCCGGGTTCTCCGCCTGCCTTCAAGGCTTGTTACGTTGCACGAGGCTTCAGTCAGCGACAGGGAGTTGACTTCTTCCATACCTTCTCCCCTACCCCGAAGATGATCACTCTTTGGGTGCTGCTGCACGTCGCCGCTCAGTGTGACTACGAGCTTCACTCTCTTGACTTTAGCACTGCTTTCTTACAGGGCAGCCTGCACGAGGAGATCTGGCTGCGCCGCCCACCTGGCTTCACTGCGTCGTTTCCTGCTGGTACCCAGTGGAGCCTCCGGCGGCCTGTCTACGGTCTCCGCGAGGCGCCTTGCAAGTGGCACGAGACGATGAGGACGACGCTTGTGGCTCTTGGGTTTGCTCCTTCGACTGCAAACCCGTCGCTGTTTCTGCACACCGACACTTCGCTGCCGCCGTTCTACATCCTCGTGTACGTCGACGACTTGGTCTTTGCCACTGCTTACATTGGGGGACTGGCCCTAGTGAAGTCGGAGCTGCAGAAGAGATACACGTGCACAGACCTGGGTGAGCTGCGCAGCTATCTTGGCTTGCAGATCACCCGGGACAGAGCACGGCGCACCATTACCTTCACTCAGTCACACATGGTACACCAGGTCCTTCGGCGCTTCGGCTTCCGATACTCCTCGCCACAGTCCACTCCACTGCCTACCGGTCACTCGCTCTCAGCTCCACCTTCGGACGAGGAGGTCGTAGAGCCGAGTGGCCCGTATCCTGAGCTTGCGGGCTGCCTCATATACCTGATGACCTGCACTCGACCTGACCTTGCCTACCCTCTTAGCATTCTGGCACGCTACGTTGCGCCCGGGAGACACTGACCAGAGCACTGGAAGGCCGCTAAGAGGGTGTTGCGCTACTTGTGCAGTACGTCGGGCATGAGGCTCGTGCTTGGAGGAAAGAGTCCAGTTGTCCTCACTGAACACGCAGACTCTTCTTGGGTTGACGACTTGGCTACGCAGTGGTTGTCACATGGTTACACTTTCAGCCTTGGCTCCGGCTCCGTTTCGTAGCGGTCTACCCGCTTGTCTTCTGTTCTCCGTTCCTGTTGTGAGGCTGGGATCTACGCAGGGGCCATGGCTGCACAGGAGTTACGCTGGCTTACCTACCTGCTGACCGACTTGGGAGAGCGGCCTCGTTCTCCTCCAGTTCTGTATGTAGAAAACAAAGCCATGATTGCCTTGTGTCAGGAGCACAGACTGGAGCACAGGACGAAGCACATCGCTCTGCGTTACTTCCTTGCTCGAGAATAGCAGCAGCGTGGTCAGCTTCGTCTTGCTTACGTGGCCACTCGGGCCAACACTGCTGATAAATTCACTAAGACACTTTAGTCTGGTGATTATGAGCGTTTCTGTACTGCTTTAGGCCTTCTGCCTGGTTCGTCTCACTTGCTCGCTGCGTGACTTTGCTTGTACTGTGATTTATAAATATATATACTTGCATGCGTACACTTGCTAGGTTTTGATCACTGTACTGCTTGTTCTCCATTATATAGCTCTGCATGTAAACTGGCCTTGTGGCCATTTGCTTGTTCTAAGAGTGTGTGGTGACTTCGTGATCCACCCTAAGCTTGCTTTGCTTTTCTTGACTGGTCTTGTGACCTCTTGTTCTCTCCCACTTTGCCTATGAGGGTGTGTCAAACTTATATGTTGCATGTTGTGTAGGCTCTAGTGGGGTAGCCCATATGGGGTACAACCCAAATTATGGTTAGTACTTGTACCCATCCTGCTGCTAGTTCATTCATTCTCGTTTCTTACTTCTGACAACTAGAATCTTCTTGAATATTAGTATTTTCTTACGATTGATCAGCACAAATCGGTATGTGCGGCGGATTTCGTCTCCTTCGGAGGGGGGTAGTGTTTCAGGGTCGTTGACTGTTCCCCATGAATAGTAATATCAGTCCCATCTTCATATCATATTGAAAGATTCCTTTGCGTATTTTTAGTGTTTTCTATTCGTTATTGCATGCTATTCTTGTTAATAGTATCATTCAATTTTCAAATCAGTATCTTCTTCCGAAATAATATTCCGTTGTGTTTCATCCTAGACTTAGACAAACGCAGATTTAGGCCTAACATCCCCAGTGGCTATGTTATAGTTCATTTGTAGCAGCCTAAAATGAGAGAATGACAAACTGCCTTGTTTTTATATTCCTTTTTTTTTGGGCCGGGTTTAGGACGCAATGAAAATATTTGAGATTTCCCCAAACAGAAAACAACCTGTATTTTCTGAATAGAAAAGGAAAATGGAGAAATTATCTGCTCCAAGTAATCTGACCCGAGCGCAAAGTTAGGCGCTGCCAAAACCGTTGCCTAAAGGAACCGGAAACTTGAAAACAGAGAAGTTCATCATTCCCTCGCCGATAATTGATTCAATGCAGGTTCAATCCGCAAGCGGGGACGTGTCACGTGTCACCAAACCGAGATTGACACTGACGACCGAGAGACCGGTGACCCCGGCCCGTCCAGCACGGCAATGGTGACCGGCAGTTCCTGCCACTGCAGCTTGTTCGTCCGCTCAGGTTCACATTTCGATCGAGATCGACGGTTCTCGCAATGCCAAAATTTCAAAGACCAGCGTTGAATCCTTCGTGGCACATACTCATTCAGCGAAAATTCTGTCATGCGCCTTGTTCTGTGGGGATGCAGCTATTTGAGGGTTCATTCCGCTCTGGACATGTCCCAAAAGTACATGTCCCAATCGGGTGTACCGCTTCGAACCGAACTAAACCAGAGACGCGAAATTTTTGACAATTTGAAACTAGAATGTAATTCGGTGTAATAAGATGCAGTGCGGTAGAATCGATTGGGACACTTTCTTTTGGGACATATCCTGAGCGGAATGTACCACATTCAGGTTTCCGTTTCCATGTCATTCTCAATTTCCATTCAGAAAATACAGCTTTCCCAAGAACTCTTTCCTGCTCAGCATAGAACAGCAACACATCCAACTCCAGTACTATCAGACCACTCACAAGCTTTAGAGTCATTGGAGTCGCACGGACTTGTGGTTCATTCCAGAAGCGGCGACGACTATTCGAACCAGCGACAGTTCTTGCTAGAAGTGGTTTTATTGCAAAAGTTATTCCTACTATGACATTTTTGAACCATCGCGAAATCTCCTGCAGAACCAGGACTCCAGCCATGGCGAGAAACGACAGCGCAGTGTCTCCGAGGCTATTCAGAGGCACGGCTATGATTCTCCTCCTCGCCCTCCTCATTCCTGACCCCACCGGGTTGGAGACCGGTGGCACTGGCGGCGGCACTGGACATTTCGCAGAAGCGCTTCCCTTCATCGAACCATCGCAACGTAAGCTGGTCGCAGCTTCGCGTCGCGTAGCATCATGCGGAGGTGCTCCAAAGCCGGAACTTCTGGCAAAGCGATGAAACCAGCCGGATGGCGTGACCAAATACTCTCCTCCCCATCCGGTTTCGTTTGGCTCCTGTAGCATCCCTTTCCTTCCTGTCATATATATTTCTCGCCTGTCTCCTCAACTGCAGCTGCGTGATGCGCACCTCTCTCCTCCCCGCGATCCTCCTCTTCCCCACTCTGTGCTATCTCATCCCACTGTGCTGCTCTTTACTCCCTACACTCAGCCGCCGCGACGTCACGGGCATTCATGCCAAGACCAAAAGGTCGAATTCTCCTCTCTCCCCGTGCATCCGCCTGTCACCCCGCTCTCCGCCTGTTTTCCTCTCTCTCTCTCTCCCCTCCTCAGTCGTCCTTCCCACCTCAGCCGCTCTCCTCCCCGCCGTCTGCTCTGCTACTTGGAAAGCCGCCCTGTTCTTGGATGCGGCATCAATGCCGTGAATGAGATCTGATTCTCCTTTTCTTCATTGAAGGGCCATGCGGCAACTGCTCTCCTCTTCCGCTGTGCTCCCACTTTTCCTCATTCTCCTGCTCTCTCTTCCCTAGATCTCCCTCCCCTTCCCCTCCTCTCTGCATCACTCTCCCTCTCTTCCCCCACCCCTCCCCAGTCCCGCCTCTCAAAGGGGTGTGACAGGTGTCTAACCTTCAAGCGCCACAAAAATAGCATCCACGTCATCATGGAGGGGAACTGTGCGACCCTGTGTACCTTACAGCTCGATCTTTGACGCCCCTAAAACAGTGCTTCGCTCCCCCATTCGCCCTCCTCTTCAGTCCCACCCTGCCTCTCAAGGGGTTGTGAACTGCGTGGATGCGTGACCATTCCCGGGAAATGCGTTACCACGTTAAAGACTTTTTAGGCGCCTACAAAAAAAGGCAATATATAACTTCCAGGTCAATTTCTGAGCGCCTACTAAGGAGATGACAAAGGTGTGGGGCATTGACATCAACAGTGGTGACTGTCTGATCCACGACTAGTTACCAGGTCAAACTGTGGGGCGCCTCAGAAATATCTCCCCTGCCCCCACCGTCCCCCTCCCTCCTTTCACCCCACCCTCCGTCTCTTCTCTCTTTGCAGTCCCGCCTCTTGAGGAGTTGTCAAGGGTGTGGGGAATTGACGTGGTCATCAGCGAGGACTGCGCGGACTCGTATAGCTTCCAGGTCGTGCGCGAGTGCGACGCAGATGGCTTCATCGTTTCCATCTCGTACGTCGCACTGCCCCCCATGTTGGTGGTGCTGCTGCTGATAGTGTCTATGAGATGATGATGGGTGCTTCTGGTGCTGATAATGCTGATGTAATGATGATGATGGGTGTTGGTAATCATGATGCGATGGTGTGTGCTGCTGCTGCTGATGGTCATTCGCGAATGCGCCAAGGAAGGCTTTGTCTCCATCTAGTACGTCGCACTGCCTCCCATGTTGGTGCTGCTGCTGCTGATGCTGCTGGCGCTTGTGGTGGTGATGTGATAATGATGGGTGCTGCTGGTGTTGGTGATGGTGGTGGTGGTGTGCTGCTGCTGCTTCTGCTGCTGGTGGTGCTTGTGGTGGTGATGTGATGATGTTGGTTGACGCTGCTGCTGCTGCTGATGATGATGATGGTGGTGTTGCTGTGTTGCTAGTGCTGCTACTGCTGCTGCTGCTGGTGATGTGATGTTGGTGATGTGATGATGAGGTGGTGATGCTATGATGATGGGTGGTGATGGGATGATGAGGACGCAACACCTCAAGTTCAGTTTGGCAATTTACCGTGCAATAACAATCAGCCACCGCACTGAAATCATGTGTATCACATCCTCAAATTTCAGAAACCTTTTAACCCAGAAAAAAGAAACGATCCTGTGCACTCTTGATCGTAAAAATGAGCTGGAGGTGACGCCTCCTGATAGTTGCTGGTGCTGGTGGTGGTTACCATGATCACTGTTCATCCCTCACGAAGCAAGCTCCTTCACTTCTCCATCCTTCCTCACCCCCCGCCTTGACCCCCACCCTCGCGCCCTGCTCCCACGCCCTGCACCGCACCAGCCCAACGTCCATGAGCAACCAACAGGGCGTCAACACCATTCCAGACGTCATCCCTTTGTGAAGCAAACTCACTCTCTTCCTCCCGCAACCCCTCTCATCCCTTCTTTTCCCTCTCCGCCCGGCCCGCCTCTGCGTCTCACCAGTCTGACGTCCATCAACACGACATTGTTTTCCTTCTGGCCGCCCGCCCCCCCCCCCCCCCCCCCCCCCCTCTCCCTTCCCCGCCTCTGTGTCTCACCAGTCCGACATCCATCAGCACGCAATTCGACATCATTCCAGACGTCATCACCAAACTCACACGACTCACCTCCCTGTGAGCCTCTCACCACCCTGTGAGCCTCTCACCTCCCTGTGAGCCTCTCACCTCCCTGTGAGCCTCTCACCTCCCTGTGATACTCTGTCCCTGCTGTGAGCGTTGAACGTATTTTGAGGCAATTTGTCCAGGTTGCAATTCATTTCTTTGTGCAGAGATGGAGGCTCATACTCTCACGTACGTGTGCATGGGTGCGCACCCATGCATGATGTATGTGTGTGCATGTGTGCATGTATGCGTGTGTACGTGTGCATGCACGCGTGTGTATGTGTGCATGCATGGGTGTGTATGTGCGCATTCATGCATGTAAATATGTGCATGCTTGCGTGTCTGTTTGCTCATGTGCGTGTGAGCATGGCAGGAACCTAGAGTTCGTCGACATTAGAGGCACCCTGCCCGCCAGCATGGGCAACATGACCAACCTGCAAGAGCTGTGAGCCGCTCCCCTCCATACACTGTGCTGCCCTCCACACACCGTGCTGCCCTCCGCACACCGTGCTGCCCTCCGCACACCGTGCTGCCCTCCGCACACCGTGCTGCCCTCCGCACACCGTGCTGCCCTCCGCACACCGTGCTGGCCAGAGCCCAACACACAATCATGCTTTGTCTCTCTACTATTGTGCCACCCCCCTCTACCATTGTCACCCCATTCTATCATTGTCACCCCATTCTTTCATTGTCACCCCATTCTATCATTGTCACACCCCTCGTTCTGGTCAAGAAGGGTGGTTAACCAGGGTGATTGGCAATGCCCCACCATGCCCACCTCCCACCTCTCTCCTCATCACCCTCTCCCTCCTTCCGACCGTGCAGGACAATCAGCCGGGTGGAATCGGGCAGCATCCCGGCCTCCTTTGGTAACATGGCCAGCCTGCAATCACTGTGAGCACCGCTTCCTCATTACAGCCACTCCCTGTGAGCACCACCTTCTCGATATAGTCACTCCAGGCAAGCACCGCTTTCTTAATTCAGGCACTGCGCACTATGCAAAGAGTTGAGTATCCATACTAGGCAGGTTTACAAGCTTCTTCTGTCCAACTGCGTTCTCTTGACGGACGAGTCAGCGAGAGTGATTGAATTGGCCTTGCGGTATCCCTTTCTTGTACATCTCTCCCTAAACCCTGCTCTCTCTCTCTTTTACATCTCCCCCCCTTGTGTGAGTGTTGAAGCAACAGCGTGAGTGATTGGCATGGCCTCACGATATCCCACCCCCCACCCTCTCCCTCTTTCATCCATCTCTCTCCTTTGTGTGTGTGCAGGATCATCAGCGTGAGTGACAACGACACCACAGGAGCTGCCCTCACAGGGGCCCATCCCTGAATCGTTCTCCAACCTCAAGAGCCTCACCTCGCTGTAAGCACACTCATACATCGCAATCATCACACCCTCACCTCCCTGTAAGCACACCCTCACCTCGTTGTAAGCACACCGTCACCTCGCTGTAAGCACGCCCTCACCTCGCTGTAAGCACACCCTCACCTCGCTGTAAGCACACCCTCACCTCGTTGTAAGGACACCCTCACCTCACTGTAACCACACCCACTCAAGAGCCTTTTCCTTCTTCCTTTCCTTTCCAAGCACATCCAGTCTTTCTATGATAAAAAACCCGTGTTTGTTGATTTGAAACTTCTCTAAGGAGGAATGGCACCCATGCCCTCCCACATGCATCCCATGCCCACTCACGTGTCTCTCCCTCCCACATGCACCCTATGCCCCACTCACATGCCTCATCCTCCCATTCCTCTATCCCTCCAACACCACTCTCCTACCCACACCACTCTCCCTCCCACATCACTCTCCCTCTCACACATCCCCCCCTCCCACACGTCGCAGTGATCTCACCAACAACAATATCGGGCCACTAACTGACAGCATCGGCACCATCCCCAACCTGGAGTACCTGTGAGTCAGGGGAGGAGGTGCTCGTTGGAGGGGAGGGTGGGGTATGAGGAGGAGGAGGCGGGTGAGGAGATGGTGGGTTGTGAGTGGTGGAGGAGCATTTTTAAAGAGGAAATTGCTGTAAGGAAACGTGCATGCATCCAGTTACCCATTTGTTAGGTCTTAAAGAGATAGAATATTAACAGTCTCAGAGCCTCACGGCAACAGCATTTGTGAACGCTTGTCACTTTGTCCCTTGCAGCAAGGTCAAGGGCAACAACTTCACAGGCAGCACCATTCCTGAGACGCCTCTAATTCCTCCACCCTGTCCCTCCTTGCAGCAAGCTCAAGGGCAACAACTTCACTGGCAGCACCATCCCCAGCACCATCACCGCCCTTACAAACCTCGTTGAGCTGTAAGCCTTCACAATGATCCAGCACTTCACCTCACCGTGCCTCACCGTCACCTCATCTCACCTCACCGCACCTCACCTCACCTCACCTCACCATGCCTCACTTCACCGCACCCCACCCCATCTTAACCCCTTCAGAGAGTTGAGCTATCCACTTACGACAAGAAGTAAGGCATAGAAGTCAGTAGAGTATGAAATACAATCCTATGTCTGCTGGAATTCTGCATTACCACAATTTCATGTCTGCTGGGTTTCTGCCCTGCCACCATAAGAGCCCGGGCTACATGGGATTCAACTTCCAGCTACAGCCTCTTCCCGACTCTTCCCATCCTCTCCATCATACCATGCCCATTCTCCCACCCCCGCCATGCATCCCTCCCTCAACCCCTTCCCCCCATCCCTTTCATGCCAATTCTGCCCATTCTCTGCCCCTACCTTTCCCCCAATAGGAGCCTCGACTACACGGGTGTGGGCGGCTCCATTCCATCCGGCCTTGGCTTGCTGTCTGATCTTCAAATCCTGTGAGTGCTGGTGCCCGCTGTGAGTGCTGGTGCTTGATGTGAGTGTTGTTGCCTGCTGAGTACTGCTGCATTTATTAAGTTCTGCTGCTTTGTTTAGTACTGCCTGCTGTAAATACTGCCCTTATCCAATACTTCACTTTTCTTGCCATACTTCTCCGCTTCTCTTGGCCTCGTGTCCTCAGCTCACCACACATCATAGCCTTGCAAGTCCTCACCACTGAACACACTCCTGAATCTCAAGTGCAAGTATTATTCTTTGCCCACCCACACAGGAGGCTCGAGGGCAACAATCTAACTGGCACGCTTCCACCCACTCTGGGCGCACCATATCTTGACACCCTGTAAGATGAAGCGCCAGAGTACAAAGTTGTGAGGCCACTTTGTGTTTGAAGAAGTGTTTTGAGATGTCTCAAAACACCATATCTTGACACCCTGTAAGATAAATTGCCAGAGAACAAGCTTTTGAGGCAATTTTTCAACTCCCCAGTGCTTTTCATTCCCCTGCCCACTCACTGACCCTCTCATCTCACCGCCCCAGCCTGCAGCAACTACAATTTTACTGTGGCCTGCCGTGCCAGCAGCTCCTAGCCCTCTCACTGCCCCTGCCCTCCCTCTGCCCTTGATCTCTCACTCCCTTGCGCTCCCTCTCGCTGCCCTTGCATGCAGCAACTTTGACTCTACCGTAATCTGCGCTGCCAGTGGCACCCCGTGTGTGGTGGAGCAGAGAGAGTTCAGCAAGTTTTGCACCGCCTGTGCTGCCTTCTGCGCCTCCTGCAGCCCGCCTACACCTGGTGGGTGATTGCTACTTCATCCCTCCTGACAAAGGATCTGAACTCCCTCTCTGGTCGAACTTCAAGGGGTAAAGTTGTTAGTTGTTTCTCCTTGTGTCCATCCTTCCCCTTTCCCTTGTTTGTGTGCAGCCCCAGCATCCCAAGCCCCACCAACAGAAGCCCCGGCATCCCAAGCCCCGGCATCCCAAGCCCCGGCATCAGAAGCACCCCCATCCGAAGCATCCCCATCAGGGCGTCCAATCTCTCCTCCCATCCCTGCATCGCCCTCGGTGTCTTCTCCTTCCCCTCTTCCTCTTCCTCCTTCTCCTGTTAAGCCCCCTCCATCCAACAACAACACCACCAACACCAACACCAACACCAACAACACCAACAACACCAGCACCAACAACACCAGCACCAACAACACCAATACCAACACCAACAATACCAACAACACCAGCACCAGCACCAACAACACCAGCACCAACAACACCAACACCAACAACACCAGCACCAACAACAACAACACCAACAACACCAGCACCAACAACACCAATACCAACACCAACAATACCAACAACACCAGCACCAGCACCAACAACACCAGCACCAACAACACCAACACCAACAACACCAGCACCAACAACAACAACACCAACAACACCAGCCACAACACCAACAACACCAGCGCCAACAAAACCAACAATGCCAGCGCCAATGAGCCATCCTCCAGCACGGGGCCGACCGCAGGAGCCATCGTGGGCATTGTGGTGGGCGTGATGCTGCTGGTCGTCAGCGTCGTTGCCACCGTCTTCGTCGTCATTCGTTGCAGGAAGAAAATCGAAGGTGACCAAAGTTCCTCATCTTTCTTCACTGAAGCTTTTCTTTGACATAAAACGGCACTCCCGTGCATCATCACGGCATGTCCCACAGCACAAACACCATGACAGTATCACCATCTTCACTAGAATGTTTTACCAACCTAAAAATATTCACCACAAAGGATCTGTCGTACTGAGATGTGCGCCTTGACTCGAATTCTGCCCTACCTGTGCAGTGGTTGAAGTGCCTAATGAATGCCAGTACTCTGCTTCAGCCGCAGCCCCTCTGGGCACCTATGCCAAGGACTACGTCAGTTACCAGCCAGATGCCACTGCAAAGGTCTAAGTATACTATAGGGTAGCGACTTGTTGCTAGTAGCAACTTGACGTCCCACCTGCACCTGCTACTCTTCGCCACACCTGCACCTGCTAATAATGCCACAGCACTTGCGTGCTACAACTTCTTGTGCTGATGCAAGATAATGGTACAATCTGCTACCGTGGTGCTTGAATCCTGCCCTTTCTGATACTGTGAAGGAACCGGGTAGCGAGAATCTAGTCACCAATGCCCATTGCAGATGCTGGTTTTTATTTTCATGACTAGGAACTACTTGGTCTAGTACAGATGCTATTTTCTATGGGAGGGCTGTTCATATCAGAGTATACAGTCTGATTGTCTGGGTTTTCTAACCACAATTTCTACCAAACTGAAATTCCCTGTACCGTATTTTCCAAGACAAAATGCTTGGGGGTTTTTTTATCTGGGGACCAAATGCTTATTTTGTCCTACCTGATGAGGACCCGCATTTTGATGCAAATACCCTGGTCAACGCGTTAGACGCAGAATCTGATATGTTGACCACGCCAGGTCGAAGAGATATCAGTTACAACATCTGATTACATAGTTGGAATCTAGACGGCAAGCTCAGGACATCGACGCCCACTATGTGTTATCAAGCAGACATCAGGTTGTCATTGCCACTCCTCCCATATTCCGTCTCTCGTATTATCAACTGCACCTTGAAGTACAGATGCAGGCCAATGCTTGATGTATGAGTACAAGTGAGTTAGACAGTGAGCATTTACGTACTATTAACCATTACTGCCGTCCTACCACAATCAAGACTAGAAACGAATCAGTGGAGTCAAATCTATCTTCTCTGCAATACTATTTTCCTCTTACCGAAAGTATCTTGGCTACTGAGCGTTTTGCTCTTCAATTCAGGCCATGAAAGAAGAATGACTACAAATCAAGCGAAGTTTCGATCAACAATTACCCGTTTTCCTCCACGGCTCCTGGAATTACCGGGGATGGTGTCATTTATATGTTTCTGGACAACAGAGAAGGATGACATTAAAATTACTAGATTGAGTGGATGGAATAATATGGTGGATCCAATATCTGAAGCTATTCAAGGTGTGTTTATTCTGCTAGGGTAAAAAGAGCTGTGGCACTGTTCAGTCACACACGAATCTATGCAATTTGCTGAAGGCACTTCTTCTTGATTTGTTGGAGCGAGTGGAGCAGCTTCTTCTCGGCTCCTCAAATCAACGAAATGTAGGCGTTTCTACCCCGGTTGAAGTGTACCAACTGGTCAACGAAATATTCCAGTGGGCAAGCTGCAACTTTTAAGCGTTTAATGTATGAACCATCTTAGGGTGGCCGAGAGAGTACAGTAAAATATACCTAGGCCAGTTACAACCGATGGGGCAATAATACTGTGATACTTTAGGCCCTTGAACGCGAGAGAATGCAATTGTCTGAAAGAGTGTGCAGGTGTCCCACACGTTAGACTACACCTGGCCGGCAGCACCAGGCTGGTAACCAGCATAAGCACCCTGGGGCGGCTTGTACTGGTTATCCCCTGCGTATGCTCCTGTAGCTTGAGTCGTGTATTCCACCTCCACCTCTGCAGAGAGGGAAGCACACACGAGGGTACAAGGACAAGTGAGGTGTTAAGGAACGCAAGGGGGGATAACATAGAGGAATAACGGAGGGGGGTTTCATGATCTAGACCCTCAGTTGATGAGTGCAAGCAGCAGAAACTACACAGAGCTAGGAAAAGAAGTGAGGTGTTGCCGCACTGAATGACGATAGAGACCCTGACAATTGAGAGGCGTCTCACAAATGGAGAGGAAAAGCATGTGCTCGAGCCGGTGCCTTTCAGGGGGCTTACCTTTGGACCTCTTGCCACACTGAATGACAATGAAGACAACAGCAATGGTGCCAACAGTGAAGAGCAGCACGCCCACCACGATGCCCACGATGGCTCCTGTCGACAACCCCGAGCTGGAGGAGGAAGCATTGGCGCTGGCGTTGGCGTTGTTGTTGTTTGTGATGGTGGTGGTGGTGCTGCTGCTGCCGTCGAGGTTGGATGGAAGAGGCTCAAAAGGAGGAGGAGGTGGGGGAGGAGGAAGGGAAGGAGAAGACTCGGAGGGAGGTGCAGGGATGGGGGGAGAGATTGGAGGCTCCGATGGGGATGCCTCGGATGGTTCGGCAATGGATGGTTCGGCAATGGATGGTTCGGCAATGGATGGTTCGGCAATGGATGGTGGAGCATCGGACGCTGGGGCTGCACACAAAAAACAAGAGTATCAGAAACGAAAAGATTAGCTTTCTCCAACAAGTGTTATTCGCCAGGTAGGCATGATGCAACAGATGGTACCCACCAGGGGCAGGCTGGATGCAACAGATGGTACCCACCAGGGGCAGGCTGGATGCACGAGGAGCAGAAGGCGGCACAGGCGGTGCAGAACTCGCTGCCGTCTCTCTGCTCCACCACACACGAGGTGTTCTTGGCAGGGCACGCCACGGTAATATCATAGTCGCTGCATGCAGGGGAGAGAGGGCAGGGGAGAGGGCCAGAGAGAGGGAGGAGAGGGGGGTGAGAGGGGGTTCGGGGCATCTCAAACCACAGGCGGTGCAGAAGGGGCTGTTGTCGCTCTGCTCCACCACACATGGGGTGCCACTGGCTGGGCAGGCCACAGTGGGATTGTCGTTACTGCACGGCGGGGTGGTGAGGGGGAGTGCCAGGGGAGTGAGAGGTCAGGGCAGTGGGAGGGAGGGGAAGGAGAGTGAGAGGTCAGGGCAGTGGGAGGGAGGGGAAGGAGAGTGAGAGGTCAGGGCAGTGGGAGGGAGGGGAAGGAGAGTGAGAGGTCAGGGCAGTGGGAGGGAGGGGAAGGAGAGTGAGAGGTCAGGGCAGTGGGAGGGAGGGGAAGGAGAGTGAGAGGTCAGGGCAGTGGGAGGGAGGGGAAGGAGAGTGAGAGGTCAGGGCAGTGGGAGGGAGGGGAAGGAGAGTGAGAGATCAGGGCAGTGGGAGGGAGGGGAAGGAGAGTGAGAGGTCAGGGCAGTGGGAGGGAGGGGAAGGAGAGTGAGAGGTCAGGGCAGTGGGAGGGAGGGGAAGGAGAGTGAGAGGTCAGGGCAGTGGGAGGGAGGGGAAGGAGAGTGAGAGGTCAGGGCAGTGGGAGGGAGGGGAAGGAGAGTGAGAGGTCAGGGCAGTGGGAGGGAGGGGAAGGAGAGTGAGAGATCAGGGCAGTGGGAGGGAGGGGAAGGAGAGTGAGAGGTCAGGGCAGTGGGAGGGAGGGGAAGGAGAGTGAGAGATTAGGGCAGTGGGAGGGAGGGGAAGGAGAGTGAGAGATCAGGGCAGTGGGAGGGAGGGGAAGGAGAGTGAGAGGTCAGGGCAGTGGGTGGGAGGGGAAGGAGAGTGAGAGATTAGGGCAGTGGGAGGGAGGGGAAGGAGAGTGAGAGATCAGGGCAGTGGGAGGGAGGGAAAGGAGAGTGAGAGGTCAGAGCAGTGGGAGGGAGGGCAAGGGGAGTGAGAGATCAGGGGCAGTGGGAGGGCAGGGGCAGTGAAAGGACTGGGATCTGCTGGCAGGGCAGGCCACAGAAGAATCGTTGTTGCTGCAGGCTGTGGCGGTGAGAGGGGAGCGTCCGTGAGAGGGCAGGGGAATGGAAAGCACTAGGGGGATGCAGCAAGGAAGGGGGGTTGAATCAAGAAAGGGGGGATGAAGCGAGGAAGAGGGGCTGAAGCGATGAAGAGGGATGAAAGAGAGGAAGAGCGGATGATGCAAGGAAGAGGGGGTGAATCGAGGATAAAGAAGCAGATAGACAAGGTATTGGCACTGCAGCTGGTGCCTTGGTCTGCCATTTCCCCATAAGTTGCTCTCGTCTGTTGTGTGGCACGTCATCTTACATCCATACACAAATGTTGTGAGGAGAACAGATCTGGCAATGTGCTGTGCTGTGGCGCGCCATCTTACAAGGGGAGGAGACATGGGGCGCCCAGAGCGGCTGGCTTGTGAGGCGCCTCACAAGTCACCTGAAAATGCGACTCAAAAGTGGCCTCAAAGGACTGTTCTCTGGCGACTCAAAAGTGGCCATCTTACAGGGTGCGGAGACGTGGTGCGCCCAGAGTGGCGGGAAGCGTGCCGGTGAGCTTGTTGCCATCGAGCCTCCTGTGTGGGTGGTTGGGTGGGACGAAGTCAGAAGTACATCCCACATCGAAGTGAGCAGTGTGTCTTGTAAACATGAGGGCATGTAAGGCAATGACTTGTGGTGAGGTGAGCTGGTTGCCGTCGGGCCTCCTGTGTGGGTGGGGCCGCCGGATTCGTAAGTGAAGATTATGTCCCGAGGATATGAGGGCATGCAAGGCAGTGACGTGTGGTAGGGTGAGGAGATGCGGTGCACTCAGAGTGGCTGGAAGCGTGCCAGTCAACTTTTTGCCCGTGAGCCTTCTGTATGGGTGGGCAGAGAAGTAAACTTGAACTCTCTGTGTGGGTGGGCAGTACTTTACAGAAAGCAGCAGCACTCACAGCAGGCAGCAGGCAGCAGCAGCACTCACAAGGTCCGAAGATTAGTTAGCAAGCCGAGGACGGATGGGATTGAGCCGCCCACACCTGTGTATTCGAGGCCCCTGGCGTGGGAAAGATAGGGAGGGGATGATGGGAAAGGTAGGGAGGGGAGGATGGGAAAGGTACGGAGGGGAGGATGGGAAAGGTACGGAGGGGAGGATGGGAAAGGTAGGGAGGGGATGATGGGAAAGTTACGGAGGGGAGGATGGGAAAGGTAGGGAGGGGATGATGGGAAAGGTACGGAGGGGAGGATGGGAAAGGTAGGGAGGGGAGGATGGGAAAGGTAGGGAGGGATGATGGGAAAGGTAGGGAGGGGAGGATGGGAAAGGTAGGGAGGGGATGATGGGAAAGGTACGGAGGGGAGGATGGGAGAGGTAGGGAGGGGAGGATGGGAAAGGTAGGGAAGGGATGATGGGAAAGGTAGGGAGGGGAGGATGGGAAAGGTAGGGAGGGGAGGATGGGAAAGGTACGGAGGGGAGGATGGGAAAGGTAGGGAGGGGAGGATTTCCAGCAGACATGGGATTGTTGCAGGGATGATTTCCAGCAGATTCACATCATCCCTGAAGGTACTGACTTCCGTTCCTTGCGTGAGGTGATGATAGAAAAATGGTTCAAGTGGGGTGACGTGCGATGAGGTGCGGTGCAGTGCGACACGGTGAGGTGAAGTGCTGGTTCATCGTGAAGGCTTACAGCACAACGAGGTTTGTAAGGGCGGTGATGGTGCTGGGGATGGTGCTGCCTGTGAAGTTGTTGCCACCGAGATAGCTGCAGGGGTCAAAGTGAAGAGGGTTCACAAATGCTGTTGCAATGAGGCTCTGAGACTGTTCTTTTTATTCTTCTTCTTGCCATTAAAAGAATGGTTAACTGTAGGCATGACATTTCCGTACAGCAATTTGCTTGTTACAGTTGAAAACAAAAATAGTCATAGGTCCTCCACTATTCGTTAGGAGGGCTCTCCCCCCAAACTCACACCCCACCCTCCCCTCACACGCCTCCTCTCCCCCATTCACACCCCACCCTCCTCTCACACACATGCCTCCTGCCCGGACTCACAGGTACTCCAGGTTGGGGATGGTGCCGATGCTGTCAGTGAGCGGGCCAATGTTGTTGTTGGCGAGATCGCTGTGGCGTGGGAGGGAGAGCGGCATGGGAACAAAGCATGTATGGGAGGAGAGGCATGAGAGCAGAACATGTATGGGAGGAGAGGCATGAGAGCAGAACATGTATGGGAGGAGAGGCATGAGAGGGAAAGCATGGGGGGGGGAGTGAGCGGCCGGACCTTGTTGTTGGCGAGATTGCTGTGATGTGATGTGTGGGTGGGAGAGTGGTATGGGATGGAGAGGCAT